AGCATGCAGCATAGCAATGATTCAGTCGTTGTTCTTAAGTATTGTTCAGTGGCAATCCACGCCCACTAGGTCTTCAATAACTGTTAGCATCATTCATAACTTCAGAAGTGAAATTCAAGACTATGGAGGAGAAACTAAGATGGCGGCATAGGTAAACACCGGGAAATTGTCGCCTCACACAACAATTGAAAATTACCGCAAAGGACAGAGCAAACATCATCCAGAACAACAGAAAGGCTGGCTGAGTGTAAATTCTACAACTAGAAGGAAAGAAATGCATGCTGAGAGCCAGAGGAGCTGCAGAAGTGAAGTGCAGAGGTACAAGTGCAGAGGTACGGCCGGCTCGCGCGCGAGGAAAGGGGGTGGCACCTGAGGACGCGGCTGTCTTTTTGAATCACAAGCTCCCGACTGCTCTGAACTCCGGTTCCGGGAAGTCTCTGGGGACCCAGGACTCATACGGGGAGAAGCTGGTCTGTCCGGCAGTGGGCGAACTTGAAGGCGGCTTTCCCTCAGAGGTGCTTGAAGCAATTAGTGGGTCACTGAGACCCGCAACTCCGGGCAGAGAATCAGCCATAGCTCCTTGATCCGCCCTTTGATTCCCTGAGACCCCGCCCCACCCAGGCTGCGGCAGAGGCTTTTGCATGTGAATGTACCTGACTGCAGCCGAGCCAGGCAGACCCAGAACTTCCAAGAGAAGGCCCAAGGCCCCGCAGCGGCTTGCATTGCTTCACAGCTGAGCCTCTTCGTGGCTCCTGCTGTGTGGCCTCAGGCAGAGGCTGAATTAGCACCTCCTTAGATCTAGGAGCCACTGTACCCAGTGGTCAGAGGGGGACCATCCAGACTGCAACTCCTCAGATCCATAAGGGACACACTCAGGGAGCAGACTCAGTGAGCACCAAAGCCCCACTGAAGCAAGTCTTGCCCCAGAAGGGTGTCTTCAGCACAGAAGTTCTCCCACTTTAGACACAGCTGATTCTCACAGCCAATTGGCCTGGAGGTCAATTCCTCCCAGTGATTCTACAACAACCAAGGCACCAAGAGTGCACCAAGAGTGTCCACCCCAGGTAACTGGGGAGGCTGAGCTACTGGGCCCTACAGGACACCTGGCGCACAGGGCCACTCTATCAACACAGGGAAGCTGCCAAAATGCGGAGACAAAGAAACAGGTCACAAATGGCAGAAATGGAGGAAAGCAAACGATTGGATATAGAGTTCAAGGCCACGTTTATAAGGTTTTTCAAGAATTTTATGGAAACCGCCGATAAATTTAATGAATCCCTCAATAAGTATAGTGAGACCATGGAGGACATGAAAAAGGACCAACTAGAAATTAAGCATACACTGACTGAAATAAAGAATAATTTACAGAGATCCAACAGCAGACAAGAGGATCCCAAGAATCAAGTCAAAGATTTGAAATACAAAGAAACAAAAAATACCCAACCGAAAAAGAAAAAAGAAAAGAGATTCCAAAAATATGAAGATAGTGTAAGGAACCTCTGGGACAACTTCAAGCGTACCAACATCAGAATTATAGGGGTACCAGAAGGAGAGAGAGGGCAAGATATTGAAAACCTTTTTGAAGAAATAATGACAGAAAACTTCCCCTACCTGGTGAAAGAAATGGACTTACAAGTCCAGGAAGCGCAGAGAACCCCAAACAAAAGGAATCCAAAGAGGACCACACCAAGACACATCATAATTAAAATGCCAAGAGCAAAAGATAAAGAGAGAATCTTAAAAGCAGCAAGAGAAAGACAGTCAGTTACCTACAAGGGAGTACCCATACGACTGTCAGCTGATTTCTCAACAGAAACCATGCAGGCCAGAAGAGAGTGGCAAGAAATATTCAAAGTGATGAATAGCAAGAACCTGCAACCAAGATTACTTTATCCAGCAAAGCTATCATTCAGAATAGAAGGTCAGAGAAAGAGCTTCACGGATAAGAAAAAGCTAAAGGAGTTCATCACCACCAAACCAGCATTATATGAAATGCTGAAAGGTATTCTTTAAGAAGAGGAAGAAGAAAAAGGAACTCTTACCATTTGCCACAGCATGGATGGAACTGGAGAGCAGATAAATACCACATGATCTCACTCATTTGTGGAATATAATGAACAACATAAACTGATGAACAAGGACTGATCCAGAGACGGAGAGGCATTGATTGGACTGTCGGGACTTGGAGGGAAGGTAGGGGAGGGTGGGGGTAAGGGGGAAAGATCAACCAAAGGACTTATATGCAAGCATATAGGCCTAATCAATGGACATGGACAACGGGGGGGGTGAGGGCATGAGCGGGGGGTGTGGGGGGGTAGAGGGTAATGTGGGGACAAGGACACATATGTAATATCCTAATCAATAAAAAATATATTAAAAAAAAAAAAAGAAATTCAAGACTATGGCCAACCTTGGTGCATAGACCTGGACACCATACCCCCTCACTATTTGCACAGTGAAGATAGAGCAGCTGTTTCTATGTTGTCTATAGTCAAACCATTACAATCAGACATGACCATGGAGAAAACTGGTTCAAGAAAGTGTTGATCTTAAGGCAGAAACAAGTTTATTCTTTAAGAGACAGACAGTTTAAGAAGGACTCTTTGCTGTGAATCTAGTGGAGAGATCCAGAGCACAGAGGGTAATGGTTTCCATATTCTGGATGAGAATATCACTATGAGGCCAGGAAGAATGTCTGCAAGCCATTATGGGCAGCTGTAAAGAGTGCTGCTATTTATAGGACTAGAATACGGTAGTTACAAGCCACGTGTAGAAATTTAACTGTAAGTTAATTAGAATTAAAAATTCATTTCCCCAGTTGCTGTAGCCACATTTCATGTGCTCAGGAGATAAATGTGGGTAGTGGCTCCCATGTTGAACAATGCAATATAAAATATCCATCACTGCAGAAAGTTCTAGGGGATAGTGTTGGGCTAGAATGAGGCCAACACAGGGATGCCAAGTAGGAATAGAAATTTATAATACAGACTTGAGAACAGAACATTGGTTATAAAAAGGCCATGTCACTCAATTCCCAAAGAGAAGAGAGAGCTTGGTTCCCACCCTCTTAACCTGGCTTTCAATGAAAAGAGTTGAGGCACTCTTTATGTCCCCATGCCCTCTGGGACCTCAAAAACTAAACCTGTGTTTCCCATAAAATATTAAGTCAAGAGAAATTAAGACAGCACACTTAATGTGAAATAAAGTTCATATACTCCTGTTTAAACACAGATTAGAATTTCTGTCAGAACAATGCCAGTGAAAAGTTGACATTCTAATTAATATAATTTACATTATAAAGCACTGAATATCTTTATCTTGCTATTATGAAATGCCCTCTTTAAAAAAAAAATCAATGCTCATCTCAACAGGGAATTGAGTATTAAGGGCAGTATTTTAAAATCCATGTACAAGAGAGGTGTTTAAGGTTACTGGCATTTTTTTCTTTTTCTTTTTTCTTTTTTGCTCAATCCCTCCACACACCTCAACATCCCCTCCCCCACCAGCGCTATCTGCCTGCTCTCTATCTATGAGTCTGTCTCTATTTAGCTTGTTAGTTCAGTTTGTTCATTAAATTCCACATGAGTGAAATCATATGGTACTTGTCTTTCTCTCACTGGCTTATTTCACTGAGCATAATAATCTCCAGGTCCATCCATGCTGTCGCAAAGGGTAAAAGTTTCTTCCTTTTTATGGACAAGTAGTATTTCATTGTATAAATGTACCATGGCTGTGTTATCCACTCATCTACTGATGGACAGGTTACTGGCATTTTTACATGCCATCAACCCAGATCTCTAAAAAGGAAAGCAATACACTCAACCTCTATCACACAGTCTTGTCTTTCTTTATCATCCACGATACTGTTTGCATGCAGCAATAGGATTTTGAGAATGTTTTTCTTGCAATGATATAAAACACTACAAAATGCAAGCACCAAAAACCTAAAGCATTCTCTCTCTCTCTCTCTCTCTCTCTCTCTCTCTCTCTCTCTCTCTCTCTTTCTCTCTCTCTCTCTCCTTCTCCCTCTTTCTCATTCTCTCACTAACACAGGGAGCAGTCCTGAAACCCTGCGACCTGTCACACATATAGGACTCTCACACAATGCTTATTCAATCCATATTCTGAGTGTGTAAGAGGGGCAGAAAATCTACCCCACAGTTGGGTACCCAAGGATTTGTGTTCATTGCCTTTGTCAATTTTATTCTATCGGTGAAAGGAATAAAGATGAGATCCTTAAAGCTTGAATTTTCATTTCCTATGACAACGTGCTTTTTCTTCATGCTTTATCACACTCCAGTACCTGGTAGCCACCCCTTCATAATTGATATCGGCCATTCGAAGCATTCAGTGAAAGCCTCATGAGGTTCATCAAACGTCCCCCAGTCTATAATTCTTGCTCCTAACATATTCAGAAGCATATTCATCCAAGTGTTTCCCACTTCCCCTCCATGCTTTTCCCTCTGCACAGGGACGAGTGTAATGACAGTTGTATTAATTATATGCTGAAAACCCACATAGCAGCAAAAATGATGGAGATCATCGTTTTAAATATTTTATTAAAATAACCCAGTGTAGAACAGATAAAGTAGACCCTCTTGATAATGAGAGGTTCATTAATTTTACAAGAATTCTAGAAAGCTTAGAATGGTCATCAAAATTATCTCTTTCATTTATATTTTTTTAAGAAGGGGAAAACCGTCAATCGTTGCTTTAGGGAGTGAGGGCCTAATAAAATTTTCTAAGGTATTTTTAAAGTAATTACTTATCTTTCTGGAAAATGTTTTTTAAAAATAGCTTGAAATATGGAGGGTTTAGATTTTATAGGTTTATTTGAAATGCCTATAAATTTTCAGTTGCTGCAGTTTACCCCATTAAAACTTGGTTTCATTAGCATAAAATGACTTCTGATAAATAAAACTGATATCCTCCATAAACAAACAAGCAGTGCCTCAAAATCCTTTCATTACTAGCAGCAAAAGCAACACAATCTTGCCTACCAGGTGTGTCTCCAGGTACAGTTTAAGGCCATCCGTCTCTGCTTTAGGGGGTGTCCAGTTCTCAGTGGTTTCCATGGCTTCGTTTAACCACTGAATGAATTCATCCAGCTTGTCTACAAACCCCTTGTGACAAAAGAGAAAAAAAGAAAGAAAAAAGGAAAGAACAAGAAAAGCGTTAGTTCGTTATTTTTTAAAGCCAATCTTAAAAATTCCAAACCTTACGGATGGTAAAATTGATAACACTGCATTTCCATCCTAGTTCCACACTGTAGAACAGATTTTCCAGTATTCCTAGCACTAAAATCTACCAAAATGGAAAGAAGGTGTCCCTTACTCCCTCTCAGTTTTTTCCTAGGAAAACTTTTCTGAGAAACTTGAATTGGTCTCCAGGGTGTCATTGTAAAGATGAGCTAAAATTATCAAAACATTTCTGGTGTCCGACCAGCTCCCCTCCCCCCAAAATAAGTCACGTCTGCTAGGAACACTCATGTGCTTTGGGGGATAAAAATATTTCTGTGAAGATGGCATTCTTTACTCAGAAGCCTATAAAGTTGAGTTACCTCAACTGAATTAGAAATCTATTTTTAAGTCACATAGGTGTTTTAAGGGGCTTCGATGAGCTCTAATGGCAGCCCAAATGTCTGTGACTGAGTCTGAGTTCCAAGAAACAAGAAAGAGTAGAAAAGGAGGGACCAATGAACAAATGTAAACAGCTGCTCTGGGTGTGTCCCAGACAGCACAAATCACAATAATCTTGCAATTTTTAAAAGAGTGGTTATAAAAATTTATTGACCATTTAAAAGAACACATCTGTAGAAATGGAAATTATTTTGAAAGCCCAGCCATGAACCTAAGGCAAGGAAATGAGGTTGGGTGCCTGCTTCCCATGTCTAAGTAAACAGCACCACCTGGAGGTGTAAAAGAGCAAAGACAGGTTTTGACATTTGTGCTCATGGAAACGGTTTGGGATGCTTACTTCTCTATTAAACTTAACCTGCTTTTCTGTTTTCCTGTGGTGTTTTTTTGTGGGTTTTTTTTTTTAAGAATTGCCTTTTGAATAATATTTTAATGCTTTATAAGATATCCTGATACTGAATTAATAGTTGAAGATTCATTTTTTTATCACAGTTCTCAGAAGCCACATTTTGAAATTAAGGTTTCTTCTAGATATAGTTTAAGGTTCATAATCCTTTAATTCAAACAATTGATTGACCTCAAAGTAATTGTTAGAAAAGAGCAAATAGCATTGAGAAGAGTGGTAAAGAGAAAGGTAGACTTATAACACTCAGAAACATATCCCTGTCTGTCAAATGGGGACACAGCAGAGATGTGGACCTGGTGGCCCAGGGAGTCAGATCTGACTGTCCAGCCACTCTCTGGTGTGGTGTGTTGTCAGCCTGTTAAGACCATCATTCCATGTGGTAGTGTACCATGTGCTTTCCCATGATCCTAAATGCTATCCAAATTTTCCTTTTGAAAACATCCCCACTATGCCAAGTGTCACAGGACAATCACACTCATCCTTTTAATAAATCTCTAATTTTCTCATATTGCAGCTTGTTCTAAGTGCTAAGAATCCATGCCAAGTAATTAGTTTTGCCCTTTCTCATATACTTAGTTTGTTAAAAATTAAGAACTAATTATTGATACTCTCATAATTAAATTCTGATAAAAATTAAGATCGCCTTTGCTGGCCAAATGGACTTATAGCAATATCATCTGCAAGATTTTCCTAAAATCTCTCAAGCAAGCAGCATCTGGTCTCAGTGTGCCTCATACCTCTTGCTGAGTGGACACAGGCCTGGCACTAGCAACAGCCAGCCTTGGTTCACAGCTTAGCCTCTCCTGGCACCTCCAAGTGCAGCACAAGTAGCAGCCATCTACAGATTGCTTTGTATCTCATGCCAGGTAGTCTCAGGGAGAAACAGGTCATGATTCACCTTGTCCTGTATGTCACAGGAGAACCCAGAGCCAGTACACCAAGTGGACAGCTTCAGATCACATCAAATCATCTCCATAAGTGACACACTCAAGGAGTGGACTCGGCAGGCACCAGAGCTACGCTGAAGTAAGTCCTGCTCTGTGGGGTGGGACCCTGCACAGCTGATCCTCCACAGTGGTTGGAGGTCTGAGGTTGGTGGACACAGCTGATCTGCCTGAGGGTAAATCCCTATCATTGATGTGCCAACAGCAATCAAGGTTCAACTACAAAAGGAGGGTATACACAGTCCACATGGGGAGGAGGGGTCCCACCTTGAGTGCCCGGCTTGGGTGATCGGGGAGACTATGCTACTGGATGCTACATTCGGCCACTCTACCAACCCTGTGAGACATAGCACCCTACCCAAAAGAAATGAACATAAGAAGGCTGCCAAAATGAGGAGACAAAGAAACAAGTTCCAAATGAAAGAACAGAACAAAACTCCAGACAAAGAATTAAAGAAAATGGAGTTAAGCAATCTACTACATGCAAAGTTCAAGATACTTGTTATAAGGATACTCAATGAACTTAGTGAGAACCTCAACACTATAAAAAAAAAGTCAGAAATAAAGGCTACAATAACTGAAATAAAGACTATTTTACAGATGGTGAGGGTAAGTGGGTGGGTGGGAAGAGATCAACCAAAGAACTTGTATGTCTATATGCATAACTAATGGACACAGACAATAGGGTGATGAAGGCCTGGGACTGTGGGTGGGGCAGGCTACAAGAGGTCAATGGGGGAGGAGGAGGGGGATATATGTAATACTTTCAACAATAAATATTTCAAAAATCATAATTTACAGAGAATCAACAGTAGATGGATGAAACCAAGAATTAAATCAGTGATTTGGAATATAAGGAGGCAAAATATACCCAACCAGAAAGAAAAAATAATTTTTAAAAAATGAGTATAGTATAGTATAGTATAAAAAGCCTCTGGGACAACTTCAAGCATTTGCATCATGTAGGTGTGGAAGGAGAAGATAGAGAGCAAGAAATTGAAAACCTATTTGAAAAAATAATGACAGAAAACTTCCCTAACCTGATGAAGAAAATAGACATATAAGTCCAGGAAGTACAGAGAGTCCCAAATAAGGTGAACCCAAAGAGGCTCACACCAAGACACATCATAATAAAAATGACAAAGGTTAAAGACAAAGAGAATCTTAAAAGCACCAAGAGAAAAGCAGTTAGCTACCTACAAAAAAGCTCTCATAAGACTATCAGTTTATTTCTCAACAGAAACTTTGCAGGCCAGAAGGAATTAACAAAAAATATTCAAAGTGATGAAAAACAAAGACTTACAACCAAGATTACTCTACCCACCAAAGCTATCATTTAGAACCAAAGGACAGATAAAGAGTTTCCCAGACAAGAAAAAGCTAAAGGAGTTCATCCCCACCAAACCAGTATACATGAAATATGAAAGGGTCTTCTGGAAGAAGAAAGGAGAAGGAGAAGGGGAAGGAGAAGAAAAGGAGAAGAAGGAGGAGGAGGAGGAGGAGGAGGAGGAGGAGGAGGAGGAGGAGGAGGAGGAGGAGGAGGAGAAGAAGAAGAAGAAGAAGAAGAACAACAACAACAACAACAACAACAACAAATATGAATAATAAAGTGGCTATAAATACATATCTATCAACAACTGAATCCAAAAAAACCCAATAAACAAACAGGCAAGACAATAACAGACTCATAGATACAGAGAACATTTTGAAGGTTGCCATATGGGAGGGGCATTGCAGGGATGGGTGAAAAAGTTGAAGGGATTAAGAAGCACAAATTGGTTATTACAGAATAGTCAAGGGATGGAGAGTATGCATAGGGAATATAGTTAATAATAATTATGTATGTTGTCAGATAGGTATGAGATTTCTCACTTAGTAAGTTATATAATGTCTAATCACTGGGATATACATCTGAAACTAATATAATAATGTATGTCAACTGTAATTTAAAAATAAAAATATTTAAAAGTGAAAAAAAGAAATATCATCTATCATCTGCAGAATCTCATCAGAATATCAGAGTCTAGATGGTTGATAATTGTGAGTTGAAAATAGTTTTTTATAGTATTAAATAGCATTTACAATTGAATTTAGCCTTGAGTTGTTATATCTGTATATATAAATTGGTTTTGGGGAAAATTAAGTCAGGAAGTAAATTATTTTGGAAACAACTGGTTAAATCCAAAAAAGACAAATAGTCAAAGATGTTATTTGAAATATAACTATTCATAGCTTCTCTTCCTCAAAAAAAACACCAACAAGCTAACAAAATAATGTGTGTGTACGTGATTACATGGGTACCTCATCAAAAGTTAGTCTTAGCCAAAGAGTATTAAACAATGGGTTCAAATTTCCTAACAGAATTATGATTAAACTAGAGGCCCGATGCACAAAAATTTGTGCACTCGGGGGGGAGGGAAGGGGTCCCTCAGCCCGGCCTGTGCCCTCTCGCAGTCTGGGACCCCTCGGGAGATAACGACCTGCTGGCTTAGGCCTGCTCCCGGGTGGCAGAGGGCAGGCCCAATCCCTAGGTGCAGCCCCCCTGGTCAGGCTCAGAGCAGGGCCGATTGGGGAGTTAGGGTGCCTTCCCCTGTCATGCACAGAGAAGGGCAGATTGGGAGGTTGTGATGCCACTCTCAGTCACGCTCAGGGTAGGGCCAATTGGGGGGTTAGGGCACCGCCCCCTGTCACACTCAAGGCAGGGTCGATGGGCAGGTTGCGGTGCCACCCCCTGTCACTCACAGAACAGGGCCCATCAGGGGGGTTGGGGCTCCATACCCTGTCATGCACAGAGCAGGGCCAATCAGGGGGTTGGGACGCTGCCCCCTGTCACACAAAGAGCAGGGCCCATCAGGAGGGTTGGGGCTCCATACCCTGTCACACACAGAGCAGGGTCAATCAGGGGATTGGGGAGCTCCCCCCTGTCATGCACAGAGCAGGGCCAATCAGGGGGTTGAGGAGCTCCCCCCTGTCACTCACAGAGTAGGGCCGATAGTGAAGTTGGGGCACCGCCCCCTGTCACACTCAGGGCAGGGCCGATCAGGGGGTTGGGGCGCCACCCTTTATCACCCACAGAGCAGGGCCGATCAGGGGGTTGGGGCGCCGTCACTGTCACACTCAGGGCAGGGGTGATGGGG